AGCGCGTTTGTGTAAGTATAGTAGAAATTGACAAGATATTGTGAACTGCTTAAGCTTCCAAAACAATTCAAGTAAAATTTTGTACATCAGTACAGTCGTAAAAAGCTATCAATTGCAATAGGAAACAAACTAAGCGATAATCTAAGAGATATGTAGAACAAACTAGCGACAAAACTTGAAGAAATCGGAATCCATGAGCGGAAAAAAGCGCTCTCACCTTGTAAACACAAAGCAACTTCGCCAGTGAATGTACTGTTCGTCCATTTCTCAAATCTCCTACCATCGCAATTGTGACTCCATTCAATGTACCAATCTCTTGTCGAATCGTGTACACATCAAGCAAAGCCTAAATTTCGACTCTGTTTCAAAACTAAAAGCAAAGATATTCTCGATCAAACCTGAGTTGGATGTTCCCCAGCTCCATCTCCCGCATTAATCACCGGCCTGGAGGAGATCGCTGCAGCTCGCGTTGCTGCGCCAGTCTCATTATGTCTCAGTACAACAATGTCGGCATAGTTTGACATTATGGTGACAGAATCTTAAATAATAGATCTATTCAGAGGACGAATGCCAAGGTAATAAGTTTTACTTGCCCTCAAGAGTTTCTCCCTTCTGCACTGAAGATGTATGACTATCCATGTGTACTACAGCCCCTCCCAGCCGTTGCATGGCAGCTGAGAATGAGCTCGCCGTTCGAGTGGATACTTCATAAAACATCGATGCCATCACATATCCCTATAGAAGCTAATAAAAGGAGAAAGAAAGAGAAAAAGATGTGGAAGATACCTCAAGCACATGAGTGAGCGAGTGCCGTCGTTCAACATCACTTCGGAAACGATCCGCCACGTCAAAGATTCGATTAATCTAAAGACAACGATTTAGCTTGTCGAATTAAAAGAAAATAAACAAAAAATCAATTAAGTCGTTATACTTACAGTTGCCTTGTTAAGGTCATGTACACTCAGCAGATGGCTGCCCACTAAAGATACTGCTCCAGGCGTAGTAGATAACATCGGCACTGGAGATGGACTGCCATCGCTACTGAGACTTCTGTCCGTTTTAACCTCCTCGGTTGTCACATGCAATTCTCTGATGCTCGAGTCCAAATCTAATTCTGGAGACACATTACCAATCAATAACAATAAGTTTTCAATTGATCGCATGCTTTACCGTTGCTCGACCCAGCTTTTCCAAGCTGTTGAATTGACGACGCTTGTAGAATCCTCATGTTCTTACCAAATCCAGGGTCAACAATAACCTGGAATGAAATATGAACCATGCAATCCGTCTTAAATGACTAAACCTGGTTTACCTCTCCATCTACAAAAGCCTCTTCTCCTCGTATCACAACTTTTTGGACCCGTCCACGAACTTTCATGCCGGCATAGGGCGTCCAACCACATTTGCTTTGGCCACCATTATCAGGAATTACCCACTCATCATTCATATCCACCTAAGCAGATATTATTGGACTGTGGTAGACATGACAGAAGCGCCGCCTGTCAGTTAAACAATGCATCACCTCAATGTAAGTCTCTTCCTGGTCGGGTAAACCAAAGATTCGCTTGGGATTGTAATGAAGTCGATCCATAAGTTGTCTATAA